ATGAGTTTGGCTTCAACAAGATAGTGTGTGTGGTCTGTACGGTTATGTTGCCTTGTTTGTTTGTTTGACAGAGAATAGGAGCAAGGGAGAGGCAGAAGGAGAGGGAGGGAGAGAGGGAGAATCTTTTATTTTGTGTACTTTAGAGAGAGAGCGAGCATGAATGGGAAAGGGGTGGAGGGAGAGAGAATCCTAAGCAGGCTCCATGCTGAGGGTGAAGCCTGACATAGGGCTCGATCCCACGATCTTGGGATCATGACCTCAGTAGAAATCAAGAGTTTGACGCTTGACTGACTGAGCCACCCAGGTGCTCCTATTGCCTGGATTTTAAATCATCCTCTAGCACATAAACTGATTTCTCTGAACCTTAGTTTCTTTATCCGTAAAAGGAATTGATAGTTCTCACCCATAGATCTTTTTGGAAATACCTAATAGATTTTTTTTTTTTAAATCTCCAACAATTGATGTCAAGAACTTAACCCATAGGAAGCACTTAGTATTAGCTAGTAGTATAGATTTATTCTATCAATGATTCTCTATCTTTGGGATTTTGTGGACCAATAGATTAAAGAAAAATGAGGGGCGAGGGGCAAGATAGAATGGTTTCCTTTTAGTCTTGCCAAGTGAGGCTGTTAAATTTTTTTCTTTCTACCAGTGCAATCTTCATAAAAGAAAAGACATTTTTGAAAATCCAAGTTGGAGTGAAGACCTAGTATCAGAATAAAGAACTATATTTAAATGGAATAAATTTAGGTTCTATAAAAGACTCAATATACTTCTTATTTCTCCTATTTCACCATGAAATAAGAATTAGATGTTCTCTAAGTGTCCCCTTAGTTCTGAAAGGTTTCGATTCTGACATTCTTACACTTGTCTTGTTCTCCTTGCTTCGATATCTTTCCCCTTTTGATTTAGAAAATCTGGTTATAATCCATGTAGTGCAAGTCAATATTTACCTAAGGAATCTGTGAATGCTCTTAGAAATCATAGCTTAGAGACTACAGTCAAATGGAATTGGACTGGATAAAACCAGAACCATTAAAAGAAAATAGCCCAGGGGCGCCTGGGTGGCTTAGTCGGTTAAGCGTCCGACTTTGGCTCAGGTCATGATCTCGCGGTTCGTGGGTTCGAGCCCCGCGTCGGGCTCTGTGCTGACTGCCAGCTCAGAGCCTGGAGCCTGTTTCAGATACTCCCTCTCTCTCTGACCCTCCCCTGCTCACTCTGTCTCTCTCTCTCTCTCCTAGAAAAAAAAAAAAAAAAAAAAAAAAAAAAAAAAAAAAAAAAAGAAAATAGCCCTGCCAGTGATATACAGTCATTCATCTAACAAAGACACGCAGCCTACCGTGTGCCAATGATGACACTAAACCTTAGGCACATGAACAACAAAACACAAATGGTCCATGCCCTTTGGAAGTTAACGATTGAATTACTTCTATGTCCCAGGCTTTGTAGATTCTTGAGGCTTCCAGAAAAAATATGACATATTCCTAGAGCTTTACTTTCAATTGAAGAAGGAGTGGGGATGGGAAGACAAGTAATTTATCTGGCAATTTAAAATTTATTTTTAAAAAAGAATGACAAAATTTGCTGTAGCTTCAGGTTGACATGCATAGTTCACTTTCCTCTGTCCCTGGGTTGATGATTCTTTACATTTAGGTTGCATAAACGTCATATGAAGGAACTTATTACAAACCGATTCCAGGGGTGTGTGGGTGTCTCAGTTGGTTAAGAGGCTGACTTTCGATTTCAGCTCAGGTCGTGATTTCATGGTTGTGAGATTGCGCCCCATGTTGGGCTCCACGCTGACGGCAGGGAGCCTGCTTGGGATTCACTTTCTACCCCCTGCCTCAATCTCTCACAAAAGAAATAGGTAAACTTAAAAAAATATATATGGATTCCATGAACCCAGATATTCTGATTCAGTAGGGCTGTGGTAAAGCCTAGAATTTGCTTAGGAAAACCTCTTGGGAGATTTCAGTGTCACAGTAGTGGTCTACAGATCTTTCTCGGAGAAGTCTTGCTTAGGGATACTTCAAAAGTGTCAGAAGTCACTACGTTTAAAAAGGAAATTCACAAGTGAAACTTGGCAACATTTCTCCATTGAACTTAATTTGTGGGGCGGCCTGGCTGGCTCAGCCCATAAAGCATGCAACTCTTCATCTCAGGGTTGTAAGCTAAAGGACCATGTTGGGCACAGGTATAGAGCTTACCTAAAAAATTGGGGCTCCTGGGTGGCTCACTTGGTTGAGGATCTCACTCTGGATTTCAGCTCAGGTCATGATTCCAAGGTGATGGGATTGAGCCCTTTGTTGGGCTCCATGCTGAGTGTGGAGCCTGCTTGAGATTCTCTCTCTCTCTCTGCCTCTCTCTCACTCATGTGCTCTCTCTCTCCCCATCTCAAAATAATAATAATAATAAAATAAAATAAGAGTCACCTGGGAGTTGGTTAAGCATTTGACTCTGGATTTCACCTCGGGGCATGATCTCGTGGTTAGTGAAATCAAGCCCTGAGTTGAGCTCTGCTTTGACAGCTCGGAGCCTGCTTGGGATTCTCTCTCTCCTTCTCTCTTTGGACCTCCCACCTCCACATTCTCTCTCTATTTTCTCTCAATAAATAAACATTTAAAATACAAAGTTTTAAGAAACCTCATTTTTTGCATTCTATCCCTACTATCCTTTTGAATCCTGAAATTTTAACATCCTTTAAAACTATAGAGATTCATTCCAGATTAGTATTAGCAACAGGTCAGCTTAAGAAAAAATCCTTGAGAAGTTTTTGTCAAATATGTTGCTAAAATGTCTGCTATAGGAAGCTGCCCTGATTCTGGTGTTTTAACTAAGTTAGGATCTCACAGCTCTTGTTTGTTTTAATAAATTTGTATTACATTGGATGTATAACAAGTGGCTAGGAATCTGGCTTAGAGTTGTTTCTGCCCCAAAAAGCAGAATTCCATTTATTGTCTTTGTGGGGATGTCACCACTCTCTGGCTGAAGATCACAGGAACACACCTTTAGTTCGATACATTTTGGTATTATTAATTTATTGGAAGAAGGAAGAACACTCACCACGCAGGACTCTTAGGTGTGCCCGAGAGTGTTAGAGATGACATAGGACTTGGGCTTGTGTTACATATTTGGGGAAGTTTCAAGGAAGCAGAGCAGTACTCTGGGTTGGATGCTGGCAGGAAGTGGTGAGAATTCTTTTCTTTTTCTTTAAAAAAAATTTTTTTTAGTAGTCTCTACAACCTATATGGGGCTCAAACTCACGACCTTGTGATCAAGAGTTGCTTGCTCTTCTGATTGAGCCAGGTGCCCCAACAAATGGTGATAATTCTATAACAGAGCATCTTAATTTTTATTTAAAATATAAGAAGAATGGGGTGAGGTAAAAGCTGCTAGATACAGAAGAGACACTTATATTCGGCAGGAAAAGGGCTATTTTGTCATTTTTGTGGTTTGGACAAGTTCATGTTTTTTCTGTGTTCAAACAGGAGTACAAGTGGTCTTGTTTTTGTTGATTCGTCATGGTTACAATGACTTTGGCTAATGTTGATTTTCTGTGGCTAATGTTGATTTTCTGTGACATTGTTTATGTTCTACCTGAGAGCAGATGGCTGAGCGGAAGTGCTCCAGACTTTCAGGGTTTGCTCTTCTCTTTCTGAGGGTTAAAATAGAAAATAAAGGAAAACATGCTATTATACATGTTTTGGAATCTAGACACATTCAAAATACCGAGCAATAGTTATGTCTTGACAAAGCTGAGAGGCAGCTCAGTGGGAATAAGCCTGGGATTACTTTTCCTATTGAGCCCTATAATTGTGTGAACTTGGCAGTAATGTTAATAGCTTCCATTTGTTGAGCACGCACTATATGCCGTACCATTTCCCAGGTGTTTGACACACATTAACAGCTTTGCAAGGCATATATATTTTGATCGTCCCCATTTTACAGATGAGCAGTGAGTAAGTGGGGTTGCTGGAATATTAAGGGGTTTGAGCCTTTCCCAGCCTACTCAGTTTCCACTATACCAGGATGCCTCTTTATTGAGAACCTTGGTGTCTGCAGGTAGAGCAGTGAGATGTAATACATACTTGACAGGATTGTTCTGAGACTCAAATGCTATCATACATCTAAAGGCACCTAGCACAGTAACTGACTCGTGGTAGACAAGACACGACTAAGAGCCTTCTTCCAGCAGAGAGGCCGTGCCTCTGATTGTGAGTAGAGATGAGCTGACTAGTACTATGTTGAATGACTATACAATTTTTAACCTGCCAGTTACAGAAAAGGCTGAAAAATATTTTAGTATCGCAGATTCAGTGTTTAGAGCTCCAAGAAATCGTCAGTCTTTTTCTTAGAGAGGAGGAAAATGAAGCTTAGAAAGGTAGTTGATGTGCCCAGTGTCCCACTCAATTATTGTGAGTGCTGTGTATGCTGAGAAAGCAGACTTCTCACTTCTGGTCCCCCACCCCCTTTTTTTTCAGGCAACAGATCTGATTTCGTTTCATGAGGTCTAGCTTAGAGGTCCCAGTGTGCTCTGGACCCTTGTTTACGACGCTAAGGGGTCACTGCTGCCCTTCAGGTATGGGGCTGCAGAGCTCTGCACTTGGACAGTAACTGGGAGGGATCTTCTCCCCTCTGTTTCTTAATCTTACGGTTAAAAGTTTTGAAATGTCTTTATTCAGTGCAGTTGGCAATTCGATCCTTTTAAAACGGGTTTTGGTAGCATTATTTCGGACGCTAGGGCTCGAGTGGCATACCTGGGGTAGAGGGCAGGGGACACGGGCGGCGGGATTCCCACGCAGGGCAGCGGGCAGGGGGTCAGGGCCGAGGGGCGGAGGTCGCCGGCCCCGCCCCCAGAGGGACAGGGGCGGGGCGAGCGCGCCGGCTCTGGCCCCGCCCCCAGAGGGACAGGGGCGGGGCGAGCGCGCCGGCTCTGGCCCCGCCCCCAGAGGGACAGGGGCGGGGCGCGTGCGCCGGCGCCGCGGGGAGGGCGGGAAGCCGGAAGGGCAGGGAGGAGGCGAGCCGGGCGCCGAGGAGCCGGCGAGCGCCGCCGTCGCCCGCGCCATGTCCGCGCGCAGCTTGGGCACGGAGCTGGGTAAGGCCCCGCGGGTCGTCCCCGCCCGTCTCCCCCGCCCTCCGCCGCACGCGGGCCTCGCCGCCGCCGGGGGCCCTGGCGTCGGCCGCCGGGGGCGCTGGACGGGGCGGGAAGGGGTGGCGCCGGGTCCGCACGCACCCTGGGCGAAGGCCGATCTGGAGACGTAAAACTCTCGCGCGCATTGGCACCCAGGCCTTATGTTATAAGCGGGAGACAGCAGAGGATTCGACTCTCATCTTCCAACTTAATTCCTTCACCGTCTAGCTTTCTGGTCGCGAAGAGCAAAACCAAACCTAAAGCCAAAAATACCCCCGCAAAAATCTCAAAACGAAAAAGAACCCAAACAAAACAAGATAAAAACCTTCTGTGCCCACTCGATAGAATCCCTGTCCGATTTGAGGCCGGATTGCCGCAGATCATTTTAACACAGCTGCATCCCCAGACGGCATGCTGGTGGGAAAGTTGTCAGGTCTCTGTACTGTAAAACTTCCTGTAAATTGTGCATGATTTTAGAGGTACAAAGATTTGTAAGAGAACCTGAGTTATTTCGGTGGTTTTCATTTTATTGCTGTTATCAGATATTACTGGGTGAAACATTTGATTTCCCAAAATGTGAAAAATTGATAATTCAAACCGTGGCCAAACCACGATCTGAGCCAAAGGTGCAGGATCTCCGTTTAAGTATGGTGGCTAAGATACCTGTATCCTGGATCTTCACTTTAGCTTGTGTGACTTGAGGCAAATTACTTAATCACTCTGTGCTTAAATTTCTTAATCTGTAAAATGGTTGTAATAGTACTTTATAGGGCCGTTTGGAGATCGAATGAGAGGATGCAAAGTGTTTGGTATGTTGTGGTTACCTAGTAAGTGTTAACGAATAGGAGTAGTGTATAGAATTGCGTTTTTAGAGGTTAATTTTCTGAAAATTAGCTATGATTCTATATAACATATAAAGTACTTTTTTATTTTCTCTAAAAGTGACTGTTCTAATTAAACAGTCTAGACTAAAAGAGGTAGTCCATAAATTTTGTTAAATCATTAGCGTGTGTCTTTGTAAAGACATTTGATTTCTTCATCAAATTGATCTTCCTTTAGTCATTGCCCTTTAGAAGATTACGTCTTATTCATTTATTTGTTTGTTTATTGTTTATTTGTCTTAGAGAGACAGAGCATGAGTGGAGGAGGCACAGTAAGAGAGAGAGACACAGAATCCAAAGCAGGCTGCGAGCTGTCAGCACAGGGCCCAAAGTGGGGCTCATAACTCTGGAATCCTGACATCGTGACCTGAGCCGAAGTCCCACGCTTAACTGACTGAGCCACCCAGGCACCCCAGAAGATTATGTTTTATTTATTTATTATTTAAAAAAATCTTTTTTTAATGTTTTATTTATTTTTAGGAGAGAGAGAGAGACAGTGTGAGCAGGGGAGGGTCAGAGAGAGAGGGAGTCACAGACTGAAACAGGCTCCAGGCTCCGAGCTGGCAGTCAGCACAGAGCCCGACGCGGGGCTCGAACCCACGAACCGCGAGATCATGACCTAAGCGAAAGTCGGACGCTTAACCGACTAAGCCACCCAGGCGCCCCAGAAGATTATGTTTTAAACTCTAGTTGTATCTCTGAAATGTGGACTTGAGTAATAAAGGAAGAGCCAGAGAGATGGTGGATGGGGTATAGGGATGGAGTGTAGGTCTTACTTTGGTATCTTCAAGGATATGGGTCTCTTAACTTTGTACAGATCACGGATACAACATTATTTTTCCAAAACTTAAATGTTTATTTATTTTTCTTTCAAGAAATACTATTAAGACTTTCTTAACTTGGAAGAATTCCCATCACTTCCATACATTTGTTGGAAAGTAAAAGACAACAAATTGCTATGGAGCACCTGGGTAGCTCAGTTGATGAAGAATCTGACTCTTGATTTTGGCTCAAGTCATGATATTGGGGTTAGTGAGTTCAAGCCCCACGTTGGGCTACATGGTGACGGCGTGAAGCCTGTTTGGGATTCTCTCTCTCCCTCTCTCTCTCTCTCTCCCCCGCCCTTCCCTCACATGTTCGCTTGTGCTCTCTCTCTGTCACCTCTCTTCTCCCATCAAAATAAATAGACTTTAAAAAATCCAAAAAAACCCCCAAACAATTGTTATGTAGAATAATAGTATATGTAATTTTTAGGTAACTATTTAAAGGATCATAGTTTTGTTTTATTCTCTTTGTTTAAATAAAACCAGATATATTTCAAGGATTTTTTTCCTTCACTGATATTAATCATTAATCCAGACAGAAATTTAACCTAAAATGTAAAATAAGTTATTTGAATTATTTATGTACCGGGGAAAAAAATCATTCAGTATTAATTTATGCTGCATATTAACTAATGCCTTTTATAGTTTTCTAATTAAAGGTCTTTTTAAATGAACACTGTCACTTTTTTAAAGAAAGTAACTTTTATTCTCTTATTACAAAAGAAATGCATGTTTATTGTAAAAATTTTAGAGAATACAATTAGCACAAAAAAACTAAAATCATTACTAATCTAATCACTTATTTATATTTTAGTGTATACACTTTTAGTTAATAGATTTTTTTTTTTAATTAATAGGCTCATTTGACACTGAACCTGGCCCTTGTGCTAAAACCCTTTAGGGAAAACATTCCTTTATCATGGCATTTAGACACATAAAAGAAAGAACAAATCCTCCAACTTTAATGTTAGGTTTTATATCAGTGTTTGGTGGTCAGTGCTATGTACTTAAGGTATTTTATACTTAAAACATTTATTTCTGATTTTCTGTAACTCAAACATGAGGGTAAAAAAACGTTTTCTTTGGACCATGTTTGCCCTAAGTGTGTTAAGTGACAGCTGTCCCTTCATAAAAACTTGACCAGTTTGGAGTTAGAAGGGAAAATCCTCTAAATCTGGGCCTGGTATCAAGTAGTCCATGGTTCTGGCCAAGTTACTTGTTTTGTTTCCAACTAGGTCAGTGGTTCTCAAAGTTTGCTTCGTAGACTAGCTGTGTTGACGTTAGATGAGAGCTTATTAGAAATGCAAATTCTTTTTTTAAATGTTTTATTTATTTCTGAGAGAGAGAGAGAGAGAGAGAGAGAGAGAGACTGTGAGCAGGGGAGGGTCAGAGAGAGAGGGAGACACAGAATCTGAAACAGGCTCCAGGCTCTGAGCTCTCAGCACAGAGCCTGACATGGGGCTTGAACCCACGCACTGTGAGATCATAACCTGAGCCAAAGTCGGACGTGTAAGGGACTGAGCCACCCAGGCGCCCCTAGAAATGCAAATTCTAGGGCCCCATTAAGATCTTCTTTTTTTGATCTTGCATTTCTTTTTTTTTCTTTCCACTTTTTTTTTTTTTTTGCTGTATTTTAATTTACATCCAAGTTAGTTAGTGTATAGTGCAATAATGATTTCAGGAGTAGATTCCAGTGATCCATCCCTCTATGTATAACACCCAGTGCTCATCTCAACAAGTGCCCTCCTTAATGCCCATCCCAAATGTAGCCCATCCCCGTACCCACAACTCCTCCATCAACCCTCAATTTATTCTCTGTATTTAAGAGTCTATTTTGTCCCCCTCCCTGTTTTTATATTATTTTTGCTTCCCTTCCCTTATGTTCATCTGTTTTGTGTCTTCTGCATATGAGTGAAGTCATATATTTGTCTTTTTCTGACTAATTTCCCTTAGCATAATACCCTCTAGTTCCCTCCACATAGTTGCAAATGGCAAGATTTCATTCTTTTTGATTGCCGAGTAATACTCCATTGTCTGTATATACCACCTCTTTATCCACTCATCTGTCAGTGGACATTTGAGGCCCCACTGAGATCTTCATGAATCAGAAGCTCTGGGGTGGGGCTGGACATTCTGAGATTTAAGAACTCCTCTGGATGGTTCATAAACACTCAAGTTTGAGAACCACATAGTGCTGGGGAGCGCTTCTGGCCCATTCTATTCAAATGGACCTGTGTCTTTCTCTTTATTCTCCTCGAGGGCTGCAGAGTTTCGCCTGATATTTAGGTACAGCAAGGGCAGTGATCTTTCTTTTTGTTCACTGATGTGTCTCAGGCACCTACAATAGCGCCCACCACACCAGAAGCCCTCCAGCAATCTGTTCAATGAACAGATGAATTTAGAACTACTTGCTTGGCAGAACTGGGGCATCTGCCTGGGCCTCTCTTTGTCGGCAGGCGCTGGTGGGTGTACACCTCCCTCTTTTCTGAGTATCATTAAAGTTTAAGTTTGCTTTGTCTCAAGAGGCTTAGGAACCGTGTTGACAGTCTGACTTTCTTTCAAAAGTGAATTTCTTTGGCGACATCTGGAAAGTGGGGGTATTGTATTCAGTGGCTTCTAAGACCTTTCCACTCTGTGCATCTGTCAGCTCTTGTGCACAGAAAGAAAATTTTCAAATATTTCAAATAGCTGATATCTGAAAATCAGTAGGAAAAACCTACTGAAAACTGATTTTTAATTTGGGGGAATGGGGACTAGTCTATGGACTTTCTCTAGTGCGTTAACAAGAGATTGTTTTAGGCATATATCCACAATTGGAATGATCAGGGACCATGATTACGGAGGAATGTAGAGATTACTTTTCTCCGTGGAGGCTTTTCTGTGGTGCGAATCAGAACAAACCGAAAGGGCGACTTACTTATTTAAGACATAGATAAAGGAGATTAGCTTTGGCTAGTTGCCAAACCAAGAACCATAATAGGTTGTTGTATATTACGAAGCACGTTTATTCATTCAGAAAGTAGTTAGTTGTTGGGTATGAATTGTGTACTGGGTAGTATTACCCTAGATACAAGATGTACCTGCTTTCAAAGACCTACATCTGATTCAGGAGCTGGGCATCAAGCTGAGTCTACAATTAAAATAATTGCAAATGTGGTAAGCAATTATTTTTCATTTATTTTTGTCTGTTTAAGAAATTAGATAGATGTACCTAAACTGTACCTTAAATGGATTGTGATAACCAAGGGCTCTCTGCCCT